AAGCATGAATGAACATTGACTTAATAAATATTGACTGTGAACATCGAATCATACAGATAATTCTTTATCTCAAAAGAAAGGAAAGATTACCTGCTTCGAGATCGTTTTTCCTTTTCTTTATCCTTATCTGAATCAGATTTTCTAGTCTCGCGTTTACTAATTACTGCAGGAGCTGATCCATTAATTTGAAGTGGGACAGGGGGATTTGTAATAATAGGTACTAGTGGAATTGTTGCATCTATTATTTTCTCCGTTGACGATGACACAACTGGAGCTGATGGATTTACGCCGGGTGGTGTCCCACCACCATCTGGATCGCTCTTAGGTGGTGGAAACACATAATCCTGAGTCTCCAACGTCTTGAAGAGTAACTCCACAAAGTTTTTGGTTTCTAAAAACAATAATTGCAATATGTTTTCACATCAGGAGATCGTTAGATAATTAAATTTTCAATTTCTTTAGAATATTTTGTATAAACGCACCTTTTTGCAGAAATACATCCAACTGCTCAACCATGTCACCGCGGAGTTCCTCTAAAGTTTTGTCTTTCTTGACCAACGCATAGACATATTTGGCCAAAGCAGCAGGATCTGCATCACATCTAGCAAAAGAAAATCAATTATTTAATTATAGATATTCACTCGACAGACATAACGTAAAAAATACATAAATAAAACAAAAATACAAATGTTTCAGTTTAAGTAAAATTATCATGTAATATTTTACAGCTTATACATGAAACAAGCCAAGAGAAAACATATATTAAATATAATTCATATCTACTTTAATTTAAGAATTTTGTATACTCTGAATAAGATTTTACTGAACATGACAATAAATTGCTTTACATTAATAGCAACTAAATCACCTGCTATCTTTTTGAATAACTTTACATCTTGCTATTTTTTTAATTCCATAAATCATAATCCTATAATTCACAATTTGCAACAAAAATTATAAATGGTATAATGCTTTTTTTCAGCTTAAAATTTTTTTCTAAATGAAATGTTAGAAATCTCTAAATTACAAGATGAATAAGAAACATTTTGTATGTGTCATATATCAATCGTAATATTTTAACGCAAACAGGTCGTTCTTTGTAAGACTTAATGAAAGCAAAGCTTGTGTTTAATTAGTTTTTTTCCCTTTTATAGAGATAAAAATAAACTTCTTTAAATAGTTACGTGATAAAAGTCACATAAATAAAATTAATTAATATAATCAAATGAAAAATTGTGACATGTTTATTCATAGTCTGCTTACTGAGAATAAAAACTATACATTAAAATATACAAAGCATATAGTATCTACTGGTACTCAATGAAATAATTTCCTAATCACCCTAATCATTGCGGAATATGACAAAGATAGTCATCATAAGCAAAAATACCAAAATTTTCATTTACTGATCCAACACAAATGCATAATGCTGCTTGCAACGTATTAAGCGAGAGACCAACAAATAATAGCATAATACGGTCCCAGAATTTAATATTCGCATCCAATTGATAAATCGGTTAAGAAGAGAGATGGTTAAGTATTGGCTACATTTGGTAGAACAATGCCGAGTAATGCTGGTGCAGACGAAGACAGGTGCAAGAGTGTTCGGAGGATGGAGAAAAAGAAACACAGAAGTGGCGATTGTCAATGCATCTCTCCCGTGTAAATATATACCATGCCACACAGGGTGTGTAGCACAGCACAGCATTAACCACATGTACGGCCATTTACGAACACCGAGCGCGTACACACACGCACGGAGTGGTGCACTCTCTTTAGGGGGGTACAAGACTGGCCTACTTACAACGGCTCCAGCACGGCGGTAAGCCAAGCCTTGAACACGTCTGGATTGTCGATTATCATTCTCGGTGAGTTCCGTGTCACGGTTTGGCATAGAAGGCCTAACGGACACACGTCAATCACACAGGGTACCACAAGAGAGCGTGAAACCAGTACCCTCTTAAATGAAGACAGTCGCCATTCTGAAATCGGTCGCTAATGTCGCTATTGCATTGGCAAGGAGCAATTGCGCGTATCTAGATGGCGCGTCAGAAAGTGCCACGGGATTTGGTAACAGCTGCTGCCGCCACCGCGTTTAAAGCCTTGCATCCAAGGTGCGAGAAGTCGAGGGCCGGTATTCATAGTCAGATCTTATGGGCCTTCTACAATCAGCCGCAAATTAGAACGTCAGAAGTCTTAGGTCCGTTTTCACCAACGCAGATCATCTTTAATCTCGGTTCAACTTACTCTTTGTCTTTTTCTAGTTCTAAAGATTAGAAAAAGACGAAGAGTAAGTTGAACCGAGATTAAAGTTAATCTATATTGGTGGAAATGGGCATTAACCAGTCTTAACCAAGTCGTTCAAGTTGGCTATTGGCCAACTTCACCGATTATAGGTTTGTCGCGTCGCATACTCCAACATGCTTCAATATCCCATCATAGCTCCTACTCACTCTAACGAGCGCGTTTGAGTGAGTAGGAGCTAGTTGGAGGAAGTAGGAGTATTTTGGAGCATGCGACGCGAACAAACCTTTTGACTCAAGATCGCTTAGAACTTCTGACTTGCGGCTCTTAGGGCCTGCGAACAATAGAGGAACAAGAATTAGATATTAAGATTTCAACCTATCAGAAATCGTGTATTCCGATGTAATCAGTTTCTGATAGGTTGAAATCTTAATATCTAATTCCTGTTCCTCTATTGTGCGCAGGCCCTTATTGTAGAAGGCCTATTCTAGGTTTGTTCGTGTCGCATGCTCCAACATGCTCCTACCATAGTTCCTACTTATTCCAACATGGTCGTTAAAGGCCCGTATTCAGAGCGAGCTTTTATCGATAAAAGCGCGCTTTTATCTCTAGAATTCTATAGTATGTGTAATGTAAATTATAGCATGTTAGCCCGCTAACATCGTTGTAAGCGCATTCTGAATACGGGCCGGTGTGAATAGGAGCTATAGTAGGAGCATGTTGGAGCACGCGACGCGAACAAACCTTATATTCAAGACCGTCTTAAGTACGGTCTTAAGAAGTCACGAACCAATCAGAAGGCCGCATTAGCGTCTTAGGCTGAGTTTCCACTGAGCGCGTCACGCGTCGCGTCGTCGAAGGAGAGAAAGAGAGGGGTTGTGTATTTATATAATCTTATCTCTTTTTCTCTTTCATGACGCGACGCATGACGCGCTCAGTGGATACGTACCATAAGATGGTCTTGAAATAAGACTCGACCATGGAGTATAAAGACCAGGAGATCGAACCTTAGAACATATACACATGGAACACTCATTGCCTATACCGCCAATGCATTGGGCTGAAGCCAAGATAGGTACGAGAGAGAAAGGTATAGAAGACCTAAAATGCGCATGTTCAGTTCCGTCATTCCGTTCGTCAATCCATTGGAACGAATGGAAAACGTAATAGATGGAATCACCTGACGAAATTGAGCATGCGCATTGCGAATTTTAGGTCTTCTATACCTTTCTCTCTCACACCTATCTTGGCTTCAGCCTGAGCGTCCTATTATCATTCCATGTGTATATGTTCTAAGGATTCGCTGTTGCAATTGCGTGACTTGGCAGCCATTTATAGTACTAGTGACATATTTCTGTTTCATTTTATCCTATACATTCTATCTCACATTATCCTACACGTCTTATCTTGTTTGACATAGTTTAAAGGCAGTTTCATAGCATGTCGGCCATGTTTAGTACTTTCCTGAAGCTGGAAACACAATAGACACAGGCAATATGCACAGGCAACAGGAAATAACGAGCCGTCCAATCAGAGCTCTGGGATATAATATCGAACTTATACCCCAAAGCTCTGATTGGACGGCTCGTTATTCCCTGTTGCCTGTGCCTATTGCCTGTGTCTATTGTGTTTCCAGCTTTAGCACTTTTGTCATATACTGACTTAAGGGGATGCTAAACCGATTACCCAACTCAATCAAGGTCGATAGTACAGACTCTTTTAATTCCAAATTCGATAATAGTGGTGACATCTTTGATTTAGT